TACATACTACACACACACACACACACACACACACACACACACACACACACACACACACACACACATATATATATATATATAGATATACATATATATATTTCAGTTTAGGTTAGTTCAGTATTTAGTTGCAAGAGACTTGAAAGTTAAATAAGGGTTCAAAGTATATATATATATATATATATAATATGAGTATATTTCCGTGTAGATACATCAAATAAGCTAACATTCAGTGTTATTCTAGGGAGCTTTAGGGCCTGAGAACACTCTAAACATTAGTATGTCTGGTCCGACATCATTGGGAAAGCTATCGTATAAGATACAGAAAGTGCATATGTGGCCGAATATCGGAACGGTTGTTGAGCGCAGTGAACTGTATTCCTGTGTTAATACGTTGCGTTATCATAGTACTGTGTACTCCATACAGTCGTATGATGTTGACTGCAATACTGTGAATGAACCATAGTAAACGTAAACGTCTATATTGTTTATTAGGGCAAACCCAGATAAATCTATGGATGCCCTGCTGCGCCTCCTATATACAGCAAGGTGTCCTTCGTACCTATCCTAGCCACTGAAAAAACCAACAGAACTCATAGTATACATCACATATGCGACCATATACATCACATATGTGACCATATACATCACATTTGTGACCATATACATCACATATGTGACCATATACATCACATATGTGACCACATACATACATCACATATGTGACCAACCATAAAACAAATATATCGTACCATGTAGCATATAACGGGGGTTTATATAGTTCCTGCGATAAACACTCCCAAACATGCATCCAATCTTCACACCCAAAGTGGTACCATAGACTAGCATGCGACAGATCACTATGTACATACAACACCAACACTGACAAAAAAACAACCAGGATAGACCCATTAGCACCTATTCATAATACAACATAAGCACTGACAAACCACCGGGTGTCATGGTATACACAACGGATATAGCGAATTCCTGACCATCCATCAGATAAAGTAGGAGATCTTAACAAGACGCTCTTAAATGTACACTGTCTTCAATCAGAGTAGTAGAACTTAGTTACACCCGACATGCAAGGGAAGCTGTGCACGTGTGTGTACGCATAGATAGACTTCATGTAGATCGATGAGCATGCATGCGTGTACGTGTCACTCGGCAAGAACGTGTGTTGCGATATATCGATACACACAGCGAAACTAACTAAACAGTGACAGTACCATACACTTGGGGAGACTATGCCCCCGTATAGTGATATAACACAACCCCTGATAAACCACCTGGAAGTGCTGTAGTGTAGCAGACACGCCACAGATCCCCTTGAACACTCACTGTGATCACTGGCTTGCTGCAAAGGGCATACCCTCCGGCATATACACATAATGCGATCAAATGCCAAGTGGACAAGTGCAATGGCAAGTGAACAACACATTGTATTCCCTATCCACACCACACATACAGCAGACAATACACGAAAGGTACATAAATTTTATAACATACGTGTATACATACATGTATTTTATAACATACCTATACATACATACATACATACATACATATACATATATATATATATATATATATATCACAACATGCATACATACATACAGTTTCAAGTCATTCAATCCGAGCTGTGGTTCGTCTCCCGGCCGCAAAGCCCGCAGAACTATATACTGCGCGGAGATTGCAGCCTCCGACACATTGTTGTCTTCGAACAACCGCCTGAGATACTTAGTAGTCCAAGATATGCGGGATCCTTCTATATCCCTCACGCATATGTGCTTGTATGCCTGTGCCTGTGCCTGTGTGCTCATACATTTGCAACGGGCTCGGGTGATGGTGTTTGTCACGTACAGCTGCGAAAGACTCCTGGTGGTCCGAGGTATATGCAATCCTTCTGTGCCCCTCACGTTTAAGTACGCACGTGCCTGTGACTGTGACTGTGACTGTGCATTTGACTGTGCTTGGGTGTTCATATATCGGCACTGAGTGGTGGCTTTGTGCTTGTGCATGCTTGGTCTTCGTAGCGTGTTGGATATGTACGTACATGGTCCTTTCCACTCGGGCTTATATGTAGGAGCAAGGCTTGACCCAATACGTGTCACACACACACTATTCTCACCTTGGTAGCTACTACTACTCACCACTGTGTGCAGGGATTGCCGAGTTCGTGCAGATGGGCAACGCCACGATGTATGCGTCTCTGGTGGTGCGTGATTAAGTGCCCTAGCGTGCACGGGTTTGATGCTTGCCTCAGTGCGGGTGAGCCATGTACGTGCCAGACCTCTTGGGGTTCCCAATAAGTGCATTGTGTGCAAAGACAACGTCCACCAGCGCCTGACATCTATATGTGTATGGGGACTTTATTAATATATGAATATAACCAGAGCAGTGTTCAGTGTATGTAGCTTCTATAGGACTAGCTTATACATACCAGTGTTTCAGAATTCCAACGTTAATGCACCCATGCAGTAAACGTTATATGTAAACGTATCAGTGCTTGAATTCCATACGTTAAGATATTTGTCTGTGGCATTCCCCGGGCCTGAATTAACGCTTTCAGATGCATTCGCAGTCCCCGCGGCGTCTCAGTGCCCCATTCATCATCGTGAATTGATGCGACCGTCACATATTTACACATTTGGCGGCAAAATATTCTGTAGAAGCTGTTGTACTCCAAGGACCGTGGTTATGCAATAATGCAAATGCAAATATTAATAACACGTAATATATAAATATGAACTTTGCAGAGAAAGGGGCGAATAGACGTATACACGATTACACATAGATATACACGCATACACGCATGCATACGAAGAAAGGCATGTACACACAAATATATAGGCATAGTCATACTCAGCAATTAAACCTGCACATCTAGACCTAATTACACCCGAACATTTTATATTGGTCGACGCAAGAAAACATAGTCCACTTCACATATCCAGCAACTTGCGCGTTCAATCAAACCCACACCAAAGGAACGTCATACAGTTCATTGCTTCACATACACATACGCAACCATGTCTCTGGCCGATGAGCTATTAGCCGACTTTGAAAGTGACGAATTTGATGGCGACGATGCAGAAGATCCCGTAGACGATAAACACAACGTGAAAGCACACGCTGAAAATGGCGTCGAGACGGGGCTAAACTGGGACGATATGGATGGCGAGGGGGGGTTTGAGGCGTTTGGAGATATGTTAGAAGAGGGAGGGAATGTGAAAGGAGAAGGGGGTGTAGTATTGGGCCTAGATTCACCGCGGAAAGTAGCGCGATTGCTGGATTCAACTAAATTTAAAGATATTATGCGGGAAGTACGTGAATTCATGTTGAAGGAACGAGGTGCGGTGGTTGGCAGTGTGGAGATGGACCCGGAATATCAGCTAATTGTGAAGGCAAATAAGATGACTGTGGATATAGATGGGGATATCCAGGTGCTACACAAATATGTCAGGTGTGTTTATATATATATATATATATATATATATATATATATATATGTATGTATGTATGTATGTACGCATGCATGCATGCATGTATGTATGTATGTATGTATGTATTTATGTATGTATGTATGTATGTATGTATGTATGTATATAT